TTAAAGTGCGTAAGAGGGTCTTGTGTGACTTTCTTATTGACAATAACAACAGTAGTATTTCAGATTTGGTAAGTTTCTTACAAACTCAGTACAGTATTAATCCTGAGCAATTAACAATTGTGAACAATAACTTGAAATCTTACTTCTTAGGTACATTTGAAAAGAAATGGAGAGAATGTTTCCGCATTAAAAATCGATTTGAAAATAAGTTTTACACATGGTTAGAATCAGATTTTGTTGTAAATTTTACAAATGATAAAGCTACAGGTGGAAGGAAACAATCGACTTTACCTTTCGAAGATGCTTCCGCGGGAACAAAAAGACGTAGATTATTGTCAATTGAAAAAGATTTTACGGAGATTGAAATTCAATAAGCATTCCTACGAAATTTACGCACAACAGGAAGAAATAAAATAGCTATTGTCATAGAAAAACTTTTAAATTCACCTGATACTGAAGAGTTTAATCTTTCAAATATGTCTGATAATAATTCCTATGTGCCTTACTCTCCAGAAGAAGCTGTAGCTTTATCGGAACAAGCCAGATTGTCCAAATATCAATACCAGGTCATTCAACTACAGGGTAAGGAAAGGAATGCTGACATTTATCCACCATATTATCAATTACTGAATGCTAAGAAAGAATGTTATCCTTCAGAAGTCCATGTAACAGAAGGAGGTGCCAGTATTTAGATTCAGTCTCTCGTTGATCATTCTATATATAGATTATTTAAAGACCCTAATTTATCTCTTCCACATTCAGAAAAGAATGAGAAAATCTATCTAAACATGGAATTTAAATATTGTATCGATGGATTGTCAACTAAAACAAACTACAACCAGAAGTTTTGTGACGAAAATTTGTCTGATGAAAATCTGCTAACTGCATCAATGGTTCCCGTGTGCTTAAGATTTAAGGGATACATCAAAAATTTTTTGGCAGAATCCTCATACTGCTTCATTAAAAATATGTATACCTATTATGCTGAAATTTGCTAAGGAAACAAAAGAAATGACAAAATCAGAGATTAAGAATATTAAATCTCAAATTAATAACCTAAAACCTATCACAATAACCACAGTTAATGCTGTAGACGTTATTAAAACTGACATGAAATTAACTATGGTGGATGGTAAGGTTTGCCAGGCACTTACGGACACCCCTTTAGCTTCTACATGCTATGTATGCAGAGCAAAACCATCACAAATGAACGATCTGTTGCGAGTAAAACAAATGTCTGAAAATATAATCTTTTTCGATTTTGGTCTTTCTACTTTGCACGCGCGGATCAGGTTCATGGAGTGTATTTTGCATATAAGCTTCAAGTTAAAAAATGGTGTGTAAAAATTGCTGAAGAAAAAGAAATTGTAAAAAAAACTAAGCAAAGAATTTGTGATGAATTTAAAAGAAAAATGGGATTGATAGTTGATCAACCACCTCAAGGTTCCGGTAACTTTAATTGCGGTAACACTTCTCGCAGGTATTTTGCAGACGTTGATCAATTAGCAGAAATAACTGGAGTTGACAAGGAACTGAATAAAAGATTTGGTCAAATCTTGGAGATGCTTACTACTAACAAGAAGATTTCTTCACAATTCTTCAATGATTTCACCTTTGAAACAGCAGAGCTTTATGTAAAACTGTATCTATGGTATTACATGCCGTCATCAGTCCATAAAATTCTATTGCATGGAGGCAAAGTCATGGACAGTTTTCTTCTACTAATTGGCGTTTACTCGGAAGAAGCTTCAGAAGCTCGTAATAAGGACATTAAGCACTTTCGAAATCATAACACAAGAAAAACTTCTCGATTACATACTGTTGAAGATTTGATTCACAAGCTACTAGTATCATCAGATCTGTACATTGGGTCCCTTAGACCTGAAAGAGAAACGATTGAATCTGATTTGGATTCAGAAATTTTGCAGTGGATCGATCAGTACGAAGATAAAATCAATTAATTGATAATTGTAAAGAGTTGAATGGTAATCTTACATAAAAGTATTTTAATACTGTGACGATGTGAATTGTCGTTCTTTATTTTGTCGAAATTCTGAATCGTCATGTCATCTGTCGAAATCATCCCTGAACCGTGATCGTTAATTGGTATGGTAATTTAGAAAGTCGGAACTGCCGTGTGACCCACTATCAGTGGTGAATGTGTGTCGCGCGGCTAGTTAGTAGGAGAGAAAGTTGTAGAGGGCAGAGCCGCTGTCTATTAGAAAGAGATAGAGAGAGGAGAGCCAGCGGAACGAGAGAGAAGAAGAAGTCGAAGAAGCCGAGCACGTGTAGGAAAAGCGAGAAACAGGTGTCAAGAGTTTTTCGCCGACATTTTTGAGTAGTTAGTTGGCCTACGAGTAATGTAGGAGAGTGTTCTGCGAGAAGTGTAGAAAGAGAGTAGAGGGTCAGATTATCAGAGAAGTGTGTGTTGTCAGAAAACTTGTTGTTGAGAGAAGAAGGTGTCGTTTTGTGAATAAAAGTAGAGATTGTGAAAAGTGGATTAATTGTGTGTTGGATTATTTCTCTTCCCTCAATTAAGGAATCCTTTGGAAGGAGCGTGCCGGAATTAGGAAAGAGAGAAATCAACGAGCGTCGTTGGGGTGAGTCAGTATCGTGCCAGTGTTGTGCCAGTCGTGTCTCGTCGTTGGCATTTCTGCTTGCCAATTTGTTCAGGCAGAATTTTCTCTGACGATTGAGAGCGTCTCAGAGGTGTTGTTGTTTGTCGGGTTGTTGTTAAAGAGTCGAGTAGTTTATTAATTGAGCTTAAAAATTAATTGGCGCCTGACGGCGAAATTTATTAAATTAAATTTCATATTATTATTATTGTTGAAAGCGTCAGATTTTGCTTGACGTTAAGCAGAAATTTATACTAAAATAAAATTAGTTAAAATCATACGTCACAAAATTTGGCGCCCAACGTGGGGCCAGGCCAGAACCGAGACACGACTAAAATTATTTATTGTGCCAGACTGAAAGTGATCATATTGAGCCGAATTGTATGGCGAGCCGAAATAAAAATTCAGAAGAGTCTGAATAAAAATATTTTGCCATTGTGTTGTACAATTGTGAGCCAGAATTCTGAATTTTCAATTTGCCAAAGCCGACATTTTCTTGTCAATAGCCGAGAGTTCAAAATTCAATAGCCAGAAGCCGATATTTTGAATTTTCAATTTGCCAGAGCTAGATAGATTTTTTTTTTGCCAAGAAAATTCAAAAATTCATTTGCCAGATTGTTTGCCGATTTATTTTGCCACTGCCAGAAATTATTTATTCATAAATTATGAGTAAATTACTGCCAAAAATTGTGTAAAATAAAATTGTAGAGTGCCTTTGCCATTAAATTTTAGAATTTATTTTTTCTTTTGAGACTGTAAAAACTTCCTGCCGTGAAAAAAAATTGAAATCAACAATTAAAATTTTTTTTTGTTTTGCTGAAAGCCAGTTTCGTGAGAAAATTCCGAGAAAAATTCCCAACAAACTTGTGCAAAATCAAAAATTTTCTCAAAATTTTATGCCAAGCACATGTTAGACCGGAAATAAAATTCGACTTAGTCACGTGACTGTAAGTAGTGCGCCGAACGGTCGAGAGAAACCACGCGCCGGGATATTTGAATTTCAGCAGTCGAGAGAAAGTTTGCGCGCGCCCGGAAAAGTGGCTCAGTAGTAGTAGTAATTGCGGCTACACAGAGAGAGAGAGAGAGAGAAGAGATAGTGGGAGAGTCGAGTCACCAGTCTGCCAGAAAAGAAAAATTTTGAAAGGGGGCCCTCCTTCAGTAGGTACGTCCTTGCTTTCAAGATAGCACAGGGCCGTGTATACTAATTGTGCACCCCCTTGAAAATTTAAAATTATTCGAACTTAGAAATTTTTTTTTGATTATTTTGAAATGGCAAAGGCAAGTAGCGAGATCCAGGACTACAAGAGACGCATGAGCGAACTAATTGAAATACCATGCGTAAGCCGAGCATGGGAAACAATTAGTCATGCAAATTGGTCAAGTAGTGACGAATTTACTGAGACACCAATTGTGTATCAGCGGGTCGTCACAAGTTTTGAGAGAGAGGTTGTTAAGAGCCGAGATGAGGTTTGCCCTTACCGACGGTGGCGACGTGCCATTTAGTGACAGATATGATCTCGGAAATTCCGATAAAATCTTTCTGGTCGAAGCCTTTTCAGAGCCGGAAACTGAAAAATTCCCATTTATCACGTATCATAGAGGTGGCCAGACATCATCGGCGGATGATGAGAAATCAGATAGTGGGGCGAGCCAGATTATTGAGCGTAGTAGTGCCAGAAAAACTCTAGGGAGTGGGGGAAATGAATCACGGAATGGAGCATCGTACAGTAGACCTAGTCCGACCAACGTTGTGTCCACACCAAATTACACACCCCCACCCCCAGTCATGTCAACAGCCAGTATGACGACAGTATCTTCCACCACTACCAGTGCTCAATTAAGTATGACAACGAGCACCGTTATGACATCGCCACACACCATCACGTCAGCCACAATGGCTCCAAATGTTCAGAGCCTCCGTGATTCAGTCGCGCGTTTGGGTTTGTCGCCAGAAATAAGAAGACTCATGGAGTATGCTGAGAAGACAGACCGCCAGTATTCTGGAGGGGGATGGGAGTTACAACAAAGTCAATGTAGGGCCGAGATTGGAGAAGGGTACCAATTGACCCATCACCAACAATCGCGTATCTTGTCCCCACATACAAAAACTCCTGTAGCCGAGACCTCACACTCACATCACACAAATGATAGAGTGAGGCCCACACCCGCCCCCAGGAGCCAGTCAAGCCGAAGTAGTGTGAGTGACGCTAGTGTCACTCATCAACGAGTGCCACGAAATGGAGAGCCAGTGAGAAAAGAGACTGAAAGAAGTGTGTGTAGTAGAGGGGGAAGAAAAAGAGATCATGTTAGGAAATTGGGTAACATTAGAGAAGAAGGGCAGAGAAAAGGGGAGAGAGAAACCAGACTGAATAGAGGACGAGAGCAATGAAGGAAGTAGTGACAGCGAGAGATTTAGCGCTAGTGTTAGAGTGAGTAGAGAGTGCCAAAGAGAGAACAAGAGGGTCGAAAGACCGAAGAGAAGTGAGTGGGAGAGCCGGAGATCAATCTTAGATGACTCTACAAGTGAGTCAGAATCTGAGAGTGATCTGAGTCAATGCCAGAGTAGTGGGGGGAAAAACAAAGAAATTAAGTCCAGTCGGAGGTCCAAAGTGATCAGAACACTGAAGGACTGGGACTTAAAATTCTTTGGTGATGACGACAGTGCCGAAGAATTCTTGGAGCGCTTGGAAGACTGTAAGGCTTGGTCAGATTTTTCTGATCAAGAAATATTGCAGGCGCTGCCAATCATCCTTCAGAAAACTGCCAGCAGTTGGTTTAGGTCGTTGCGCCGTGAAATTAATTCGTGGAAATCATTCAAGAGGGCGTTCAAGAATGAATATCTGGTGACGGTAGACGACGATGACGTGATTGACGAGTTGAGGGCCAGGACGCAAGGGAAAGGAGAGAAAATCTCACCATATTTGACCAGCTTTAGATTAATCTTAGATCATATGAAGCGACCTCTCAGCCAGAAGAAACAAGTCAAGATCGCCTACAAAGGTTTGACGCCAGCATACAGACGTCAATTAGACAGGTTGTATTTCGAATCGTTGAGTCAAATGGAGAAGATCCTTAGAAATTATGAGAAGGCCAGGGACTTGGACGAAAGATATACCCCCCCTCCACCTAAAGAGAAGATGCGTTTTCCTGCAGCAGCCGTGAAGGAAAGCCGATTCAATAAAATAGTGAGATCAGAAGCAGCGACGTCAGAGGAGGAGTCAGAGTCGAGTGGTAGTGACCACTCTACCAAGGAGATTAAAGAGACGAACGAGGCCAGAATAAAAGAGAAGCCAGAAAGTGTATGTGTAGATGCCATGACACTTATGACAACAGCCCAGAATTCAGCAGTGCAGAGTCAAGTAGCCAGTTCACCCCCACCACAAATCTTGCCAGGACCTATGCAAATTGCATTCCCAGCCATGTATGCAGGAAATGTGTCAGGAAGAGCCAAACCAATTGGTTTGCCAAATGTAGAACAAAATGGTTCACAAACGGCAACAAAGCAATTTATGGGAGTTTGTTTCCAGTGTCAATCTATGGGACATCGGGCCAGAGATTGTCCCAGGAGGATCTGTTTTCAATGTCAGCAACAGGGACATTACGCCAAACAATGCCCCCTGAGGCAAACTCAAGTAGAGTCATGCCTAGTGTGCAAAACACCCGGAATAAACTTCTTGAGCTGCCAGAATTGTGTGGCAATACGGACAGTCTTGGAGAGCGGTGCCTGGAGGGCATAGAGATGCCTTGTACACTTGGGCCACGACAGCAGGAGAAGAAGAGCCGAGAAAGAGAACTGTGTGAGAGCTGTGCCAGAACCGACCGAGTAAAGAGAGCTTACTTTGTCAAAATGTAGTTGAAAGCAATGCTGTCGAGCGTGGGACTAAAGGTACGGATGTGATCCCAGTACCTATAGTCCAGGGGAGGGGAGAGGCTGTGAGAGTCACAACTGACCCAACCCTAAGAAAATTTTTTTTTTTTTGAGATTAGAGATGGGAGAAAGCATTGTAGACAGAAAAATTGATAAGAGAGCCGAGTTTTGTGAGATGTGTGAGGTAAAAAGGAGAGCCGAGTTTCGTAAGTCGTGTGCCGTAGAGAGGAGAGCCGAGTTTCGTAAGCCGTGTGCCGTATAGAGGAGAGCCAAGCTTCGTGAGCAGTGTACCGAAGAGAGGAGAGAGACTCATACCAAAATTAACGAGCCAGCCATTGACATCGGACAGTAGTTAGTCATTGGTAATGACGGTCCTACTGGGAGTAGTACCGGTCATGGGGAGGGGATTGTGACGATGTGAATTGTCGTTCTTTATTTTGTCGAAATTCTGAATCGTCATGTCATCTGTCGGAATCATCCCTGAACCGTGATCGTTAATTGGTATGGTAATTTAGAAAGTCGGAACTGCCGTGTGACCCACTATCAGTGGTGAATGTGTGTCGCGCGGCTAGTTAGTAGGAGAGAAAGTGGTAGAGGGCAGAGCCGCTGTCTATTAGAAAGAGATAGAGAGAGGAGAGCCAGCGGAACGAGAGAGAAGAAGAAGTCGAAGAAGCCGAGCACGTGTAGGAAAAGCGAGAAACAGGTGTCAAGAGTTTTTCGCCGACATTTTTGAGTAGTTAGTTGGCCTACGAGTAATGTAGGAGAGTGTTCTGCGAGAAGTGTAGAAAGAGAGTAGAGGGTCAGATTATCAGAGAAGTGTGTGTTGTCAGAAAACTTGTTGTTGAGAGAAGAAGGTGTCGTTTTGTGAATAAAAGTAGAGATTGTGAAAAGTGGATTAATTGTGTGTTGGATTATTTCTCTTCCCTCAATTAAGGAATCCTTTGGAAGGAGCGTGCCGGAATTAGGAAAGAGAGAAATCAACGAGCGTCGTTGGGGTAAGTCAGTATCGTGCCAGTGTTGTGCCAGTCGTGTCTCGTCGTTGGCATTTCTGCTTGCCAATTTGTTCAGGCAGAATTTCCTCTGACGATTGAGAGCGTCTCAGAGGTGTTGTTGTTTGTCGGGTTGTTGTTAAAGAGTCGAGTAGTTTATTAATTGAGCTTAAAAATTAATTGGCGCCTGACGGCGAAATTTATTAAATTAAATTTCATATTATTATTATTATTGTTGAAAGCGTCAGATTTTGCTTGACGTTAAGCAGAAATTTATACTAAAATAAAATTAGTTAAAATCATACGTCACAATACATATATACAATCGACCCATTTTAGGGCCATACATGCAAACGATGAAGCTTACGTGACGAACTTATTCAATAATGAACGGAAAATACTTACCAGGTAAGTAAAAATCTTGTTTTATAATAATAACTATAAACAAAAATATTCAATCGGCCCTTTTTAGGGCCACTAAAGCAAATGATGAAGCTTAAGTAATAAATTATCGTTGATAAGGGTTAGGCTATAAAGCACATAGCTCCACAATTAAGGATGTTAAGTGATATCAGATGCTGTTAGTACTTATATGTCAGAGACCCCAAAACCCCCGAGTATCAAATTTCAAGCAGATGTCGACAATTTTTAAAAAATCGTCCGCCATATTGGATCCGCCATTTAGAATTTTAAAAATTGGACATCATATTCGTAATCAGAGACCCCAAAAACCCCCGAGTAACAAATTTCAAGCAGATGCTGACAATTTTTAAAAAATCGTCCGCCATATTGGATCCGCCATTTTGAATTTTGAAATTTGGACATCAGATTCGTAATCAGAGACCCCAAAAACCCCCGAGTAACAAGTTTCAAGCCTAATATCCTGATAAAGTAGCTTCTACGATAATTTGTTTAAAACAATTGTTTATTAGGTATTTAATATTTATTGTATAATGTATTGTATAATGTTTTTGCATTATTATTTTTTTATGAGTGCAGTTGTAACATTTCTGAGTGATATCTAGTTAATTTTAGCTTTTTCTGCAGAAACAAAATGATATTTTGTTAAAATGTGCAATTTACATTGTATATTTGTTTATTTAACAATTAAACAACAACAAAAATAAAAAATCGAAAATCATAGTTCTCTTAAGAATTTTGTTCTAAGGAATTAAAAAAAAGAATTGAAAATCGTTTAAGAATTGTGATCTGTAGTCGATTATGAACAGTAAATTCCAGTTTTAAACCACTTTGGGGCGGCTCAGCAAGCAGTTGCAAGTGAAGACGAACGAGGTTGATAACAATGGTGAACTTACCGGTGTTGATTCCACGTTGGATCACACGAATTCGAGTTCAGGTCAGCCACGTCTCAGAAGAATGCAATTTGGTGTTGTACACAATAAAAATTAAAAATAATACTTATTATAATATATTTTAAGAAAATGAAACTTTTGGATATATACAATGATTAGGATTTCGTGTCACAGCACGACTTGAGTCGAAGACCTCGCAAATCTTTCTTATATACTCTGGTCGTATTTCGGCGGCACGCGGTATTTTTCTGTCGTCTGCTAGAGGAAGCATAGACGACACCTATATTTCAAACGCGGGAATAATTTGAAATAGCAATTAGTAAATTAAAGAATTGACGAATAGAAACCACGTGTTAACTAATTAAATGGAGATTGATCGCGTAACGATTTAGTTCGTTACACTCCCTCCTTCTAAATCGCGGTTGCTACTCGTCATTCTCAAGTTCAACCAATTGTTTACCATCTGTTCGTCCGTAAAAACAAAGATTGTTATTAAATTTTATTAACATAAATCAATATTTGGAACTGAAATAAGTATTTTTTTCTTCCTTTTTTTATAAGTTACTCCCAATCAAAAATTTCTGTCAAATGCCAGTATTCACAACTGGCGCAATATTGCACCAGTACTGGCATGCCAGCAGTTGGCTTGCCAGTACTGGTTTAGTACTGGCTTCATTAAAATTTCTGTACTCCGCCAGTACTGCCCTTTAAGACTGGTATGCCAGTACTGTGCCAGTATTGCGAAAACAACACTGGCAAACCAGTACTATGCCAGTACTGTGCCAGTCTTGCTAACACGGTAAACTGACAATAGTCAGTTAGGAACTAATTAATGGAAATTTATGCAGTAATTTATAGAAATTTTCGCAATAATTCGTAAAGATATGTTCCACATAAGTTACAATTAAAAACTTTTATTTTAGCAATTTATGGAAAATTTTGCGGTAATTTATAGAAATTTTCACAATAATTCGTAAAGATATGTAAAGCAAAAATTACCATTAAAATTTTGAATTTCAGTCATTTATGGAAATTTTACGGTATCTAATTTATGGAAATTTATGCGGTATCTAATTTATGGAAATTTATGCGGTAATCTATCAACATTTTAACGATAGTTTATAAAACTATGTAAAACACAAACGAGAATTTAAAAAATTAACATCGGTAATTTATGGTAATTTATTGAAATTTTCGCGGTAATTTATGGAAATTTATAAGATAATTTATGAAAATTTTGAGGATAAATTTTTAGCTAAAAAATTTAACGTTGGTAATTTATGGTAATTTATGGAAATTTATTAGGTAATTTACTTATTTGGTTTTTTTGAATTTAGTTCAATTAAATAATAATTTAACTTCATTACGCAGTTAAACGCTCTTTATTAATTGTAAGTGTAAAAGGTGTCAAAAATTAAAATTTATTCTCCTGTAGCTTCGATAGGGTAGTGGTTAGAGTGTTAGGCTAGAAGTCCGTAGGTCGTGGGTTCGATTCCTCGCAGTATCAAATTTTATTTCGTTATAGGTTTGCGTTTATTCTGTGTTGTTAAAATTAATTTGATTAAAAGTTAAAAGTTGGGGATTATTACATGTTTGCAAATATAAATTAATTTTTTTTTATTATATTAATATTGAATTTAAATAAATTTTCCACTAGATTGGAAAATAGACGGTTTGGTCTGATTCAGGCCAGTGCTAGAAGATTTTTCTACACGGGTACCAAACCAGTACTGAACCAGTACTGGCTGCCAGTACTGCGCCAGTAACATCGAACCATTACTGAAAAGCGTTATCATTTCAGTCAAATGACAGTACTGGGTCAACCATGGCGGCCAGTACCCCGCCAGTACTGGGCAGTACTGGCGCAGTACTGCGCCAGTTGTCAATTTTTGCTTGGGCTATTATGACAACTTGCAACTGCTTTAGCCCACATAGCACAATAGTATGAGGTAAGGTTATGTTGAGTACTAATCGTAAGGCTCATAAGGTTACACGATATTGCTGTGGTAGACCTGAGGTGAACTAAAAACTTCCGCCATGGAGGTAAGGTTACATGTTAGGGTGTGGTGACTATATATGATAAGGCCATGGTAACCTTACACGTTAAGGTTGAGGTAACGTTACATGTTAAGGTTGAGGTAAGGTTACATGTTAAGGTTGAGGTAACGTTACATGATAAGGTTGAGGTAAGATTACATGTCAAGGCTGAGGTAAGGTAATTATTAAGTTGTAAGGTTGAGGTAAGGTTGTGATAAGTTTACAAGTTATAGAAAATATTGAAAAAATAATTAATAAATAAATATTCAATTAAAATGTTAAGTTTGTTGCTCTTCTCTATTTTGGAAACCTAACATGAAGCAGAAAATTTTGAAAACAAATTTGGGGGGACTGGGATTCGAACCCGGGATCGACGTGCATAAACCTATCATTCTAACTAACTGAGCTAAGTAGAGAACTGGCAGAAGGAAAATTAATGTTGCCTTTAGGGTGAACCAAGAAGATGATTAACTCCTTAAAGGCAACATTAATTTTCCTTCTGCCAGTTCTCTACTTAGCTCAGTTAGTTA